ACGTCCTCCACAACTAGATTGAAGAACAAAACGGCAGCAACTTGTCTGTTCCCCTTACCCCAATTCCCCAGCACTGTTCCTATCCCCCTAATTCCCCAATAAAAATCTTTAAAAAAAATTAAATAAATAAATAAATAAATAAAATAAAATTATTAATTGACAACTTTCGTCTTTTTAAGAACCTAAAACTTCTGGAAGTTTCCTTTAAGGCAAGAAAGAGGAAAGCATGGGCCTTACAGTCAGAAAGACTTGAGTTTAAATTCTACCTCTGCCACTTTACTATCTGTGTGACCTTAACATGAACAGCCTCCATTTTCTCACCTGTAATATAGAGAGAATCCTTCATAATATTGGGGTGTGTGTGTGTGTGTGTGTGTGTGTGTGTGTGTGTGTGTATGTGTATCTACCTACCTATCTAGCTATGGATAACTAGGCATATAATCTTCAATCAATAGGTGTTACTATTTTTATTAACACCCTAACACTATCTTTGCTGTCCAAACATTGAAAAACCATGGGTAACACCATTTGACCACAGGACAAATGAGGACAAGATATGTGAGAATTGCTGGCAAACTGGGGTCAGGGCGGTTAAGGTGAATGATTTGAAGTGAAGAGCAAAGATAAAATTTAATAAGGCCAGGTCAAGAATCAGTCATGGTGAGACATCAGAGCCCACATGAACCAATAGTGGTTGGGCAGCAGGGGCCACCCCGCCCAATCCCTTATCATAAATCCAGACACTCTCCAGTCTGCTCAGTCCCCTGCCTCAGAGCCCCTCGAATAAGCCTTACTAGAAATATACAAGATCTATGTGAATATGAAGAAGCCATCCAAATACCAGTGACAGACTAGGACACATAAACTTGAACATGTGATGTTATTGAACATGGCACATTACTATGTCGTTGGATAGAAAAACTCAACATAGAACACATTGACTTTCCTTAGGGTAATCTATACATTTAATGTGATTGATTGGATTTTTTTCCCCCTCAAAACTATAAGTGCCAATTCTCAAGTTTATATGTAATAATAAATAAGCAAGAATAGTCAGGAAAACTCTGAAAAAGAATAATAGGGTGAGATATGGGGCTAGATCTATTAGATATTAAATATATTATTAAGCTACACTGTGTTACTGAAGTCTGAATGGAAAGACCAATGGATCAGAAATAGACCAAATACATACAGGAATTTAGAGCATGCAAAGGTGGCATTTCTGTGGGAGATAATTATATTGGGTTGTCGGGAAAGTCATGACGTATTTTTCCATGTTTTTCAATGCAAACATGCATCATGACTTTCCTGACAACCCAATACAAGTAATAGTGGGACGACCAAGTAATCCTACCTCCCATCTCATAAACAAAACACACAGACACACACACACACACACACAAAAACAAATAAGCTATAGATTCTAGATTGATCAAAGATTCAAAATGTAAAAAATTAAAAATTAAAGAGAAGATATTTTTATAAACTCAAAGAGTAGGGATGGCTTTTATAAACTTGACAATACATAAGGAAGTCACATTAAATAAGTAAAACATAAAATAGTCCCACATCAAGAGATAATTTTTCACCTATTAGATCAGCATACTTAACAAAAAAGAAAAGTCGCACTAGTGGAACAAGTGCAGGTGAACAAACACTGGTCTGTGCTGAGGGTGGGAGTACAGTTCCAAGAGTATGGCAACCCCTGTTAAAATTATGAAGACATGGTCCTCAAACCTGAGAGTCTACTCCAGAACCTTTTTTATTATACAGAAATACTTGTACAAGTATGGCAATCTGTATATACAAGGATAGTTTATGCACCTTGTTTCTAATAGAGAAAAACTGGAAAACATCTATAGGTCCATCAACACAGAAGTGGTAAACTACATTAGGGAATAGTCTTACAATGAAATTCTACACAGATGTTAACAAGGACTGAGGCCCCTTTCTTTGTACTGATTGGAAAAGCTCTCTAAAATAATTAAGTTTATAAAGCAGGGCACATAGCAGTATGTGTGATAGCCATGTCTCATTTATATAAAATCAAGGAATATTTATATCATTGCTTCTTTATGCATACATAGTCTGGAAGGATGTGTAAGACACTGTTAACACTGGTTACCTCTGGAGCGGAAACCTGGATGGGGGTTAATGGAGGGAGGCAGACTTAACGTTTTACCGAGTATCCCTTTGTACCATGGGAATGTATCACCTATTTAAAAATGAGTAAGAAAAAAAACAAACCAAAACTTTTTTAACTAATAAAAAAAAAAGCATAGGTTATCCTTAGGGGAAAGGTGTGCTAGAATTCAGAGAACACTGCCTCAAATCCATCACCCTCTCCCAGCCACTCAGCGAGGCCACTCCTGACACCATCTCTGAGCCCGGCCTGGCCAAAGCAGGGCCCTGGGAAGCCCTGCAGCATCTGCCTTGCTTCCCCAAGAACCGAAACAAATCCTCTTTCTACATTTCTTCAGAAATACTGAGCAAAGAAATGGCTAGGTTTCAGAAAATTTACACGTTACCCTTTGTATCACTGCTGAAACTAAAGAACCAATCCAGAAGCTAAAATCAAAGAACTGGATAGAACACTGGAAATCTTAAGGGAAGCTGGAAAGTCCCCCACATACGACTTCATTTTCTGCTTTGGCAACAGGGAAGCTAATAGAAGAAAGATGAAAACAAAAAAGATGAGAATATCTTATGCAGATAACAGCCCTCAGCATTCTCCACTCACATAGCACGTGCTCCTCATCGGGCACAAATCATGCACAGCACACAGGCTTTACCCGACAGCAAGCCCGGATCATGCACAACACATCCCAGGAGGAAGTGCCAACTGGCTACTAAGGCCGACTGGTGTTTTTCATTTCTGGATTAGTAGCTGCATCATGCAAGCTGGGAAACAGTGATTAAGAAATAGTATCATTTGTAGGCTGTGGGAAAATCTCAGAGGCCAGGAACCATTTTCTGAAGGTTAGCCTCAGGGAAGTCATGATTACATGTATACTTTTCAGGGGGAAGGAAAGCTAACATTTCTAAATCTTTAAGGAATCACGTTTTCAATCTCATTCTAATTACTTGACTGATTTGAACCAAAAGGGACAAACTTATGAAGAGTCCCACATGGACAAGTTTTATAGACTTGACCCTGATGGAGACTACGTTTCATGGATACAGACTATGCCCCAAACTCTATCCCACATGCAACTTGTGGGCCAACGGCTGTGGGCAACAAACTGGTACAGGTGTGGCTGCATCACCGAGAGAGCTCATCCCACTACCAGAAACACAAGGTCTGTGCCCACCACTGCTGGTCAGAGGCCACCATTTCCCCATCGAAGACAGCCCACCTTCATTGAATCTCAAAGCTATTTGGGTATTTAGTCCCACCAGCATAAGATACATATATGCTCATATATACTGACCAAAAAAAATCCACGCACACAGCTGGATGTGAAATGCTTCCTTTTCTCCTCCTTATACAAAATTATGATTAAAATTTGGCTGTAAACTTTACGCATAGGAGGCACACTTTGAAAAACAATTAAGGATCGTCAATGATGACAGGCCTGCTGCTAAACAACTCACTGTCTGAAATTCAACTTCCACTAAAACTCAAGGTTCAGTGCTGGGTACGAAGGCATGCAACCAGGTCACTTGCCTCCTCAAGCTGGACACGAGACACACCTTGGCTGCAGAAAACATGTCATTAGCAGTAATACGTTTTCATGCCAACAAATCAATGATTAACAAGGATGATTAGAGTCTGGATGGGACCAAAGCACAAGCTCTTTGCCTCGGATGCTGACTCAAAAGCCACACGCGCACACACACCGCCGCATGGCAGGCTCATACCGCTGGGCTTCGCGGGCTTGGCTCTCTCTCGTTCCTGGGTTGCAGGCTTTGGCAGAGGAGGAGTGAGTCCTCGGGACTTGGTGGGTCTCATGTAGCCTTTAACTGGTTCTGCCATTCTGCTTTTGTCTTCCTTCTTCCATTCTCCCAGGGCCTTTGGTTCGGGTTTTTCCGTCATGTTCTCTGGTGCCTCAGAGAGCCTATCTTTGGGGTCTGGGAGCTGAAGACCCTTGGAAGCTGACGCTACTAACTTATCTACCACCCTCGAAGGGATGCCTGCACCTCCACCATCTAAGAACTCCGACTCGAATGCTGGTGTTGGCAAGGAAACATCTTCCAACTCTGTGATTTCTGAAGCCAGGCTAATTACTTCCAATTTGTCCTTTTCACTTTTTGGAGATGAAAGAGTCGTACCCACCTCCTTCTTCAAACTAGCTGGGACCCTGGACACTCCACCCTCAGCATTTTGGTCCTCACAGAAACGGGGCTTTTGTGCTTTGTCTCCCAGTAAACTGGGAGTTTGCACTGCAGCAGAAACCCCCCCACACTCTTTCTTTTCGTTTACTAGATGTGTTGTAAGATTACTCCACTCTGCACATGATTCTAGGCCTCTGGCCTCGCCTGGTAGGCTCTGGTCTTCTACCGGCACTCCAGAAAGAAGGTGCCCCTTTGCTAGTTCTGCGCATTTCCCTATTGGATGCTTAGATGCACTACTGGGCACCGACTTGGATTCCCCTGTCCCAGGCCCTCCATCTACCCCTGCTTCACTTTTCATGGGATCAGCAAGCTCACCTTTATTCTTAAGACGGTTATCTCCAGAACTGTTCACTGTTTCTATGGATGCTGTAAAAGCCAGGGCACCTCCACCTGTGCTGGCTGAGGGTGTAACAGGAGAGGGAGCCTTGGGTCTTTCTTGATCTGTGACTCCATCTTTGCTGCAATTATCTACTGCTAATAATTTGGAAATCTGGACAGGAGCTGTCTCTTGCCTACTTTCTGCCAAGGTGTCTGGAAAGGAATCACTGCCCTTTGCTACCTGAGGAGTATGAGTGGGCGGTTTTTCAGATGCGGCTGAATCCAGGGCCTCTGGGGGTGCTGACTGATTCATCCCCCCTGACGGCGTTTTGTGGCAAGTAAAAGTGATGTTTCTGTTTTCATCCACATAGCCTATGCCTTCAATTCTGTGGACCCCTGTGGCTTCCATGGGAACACGTATTTTTGTTGCATCTGTCTTACTCTCCAGAGTATGCTTCTCGGGAAAACTATTTTTAACCTTTTTACTTTTGCCATCCCTACTCCTTTTGTTTGGTTTGTCAGCCACTGCAGAGTGTCCCTTGGCTGCATCTGTCTTAGGCTCCTCAGGTGGTACTGAAGGAACAAATCCTGCCCCCTGGGTTTGGTCTTGGCAGCTCAAATCTGTCACCTTGGCAGCTGCTTCAGCAACAGCAGAATCCTTGACTATGTTTTTGTTCCCACCAAGAGCCCCACGTTCAAAAGAATTAAGCTCATCATTTTTACCCTTTCGATCTACTACTTCTGCTGTGGGTGTATCTGATGTGTGTGCGAGCACAGGCTCAGGATTAATGGGGAAGGTGAGCCCTAACTCCTTGTTTTGATGCGGAGTGCCACCAGCCTCTCCATCCTTCCCTACAAACGGCGGGCTGCAGCTTTCTTCCTTGCTCTCTATTCTAGCTGGCTGTGCAGAATAACTATTTTTAACCTTTTTGTTTTTGCCTTCATTGCCTCTTTTTTTAGACTGTTCAGAGAACCAGGGAGCTGCCTCACGATCCATCCAAGGACACTTTTCTTCCTTGCCCTGGTTACTGACACCCAGATCTATGGCTACGGCTCCTCTTTCTGTTCCAGCACCGGAAGTCTGAGTCACGGCTGACTCATTTCCCAAGGGAATCAATGCCTGCAAGGTGCTTGTCACACCAGGGTCAGTCATCCCTTTAGGCTCCCCCATCACCACTGTCTCAGGGAGATCAGCCATGAACCCTGGTTGTTTTGAAGGCTCCCGCCCCAGCGCCTCACTCTTAGCCCCAGCAGTCATTCTTCCGGTGGTAGCGGCTGGCTCACTAGGCCCAAGGACAGCTCTGCTGTCCTCCTGGTTGTCTGGAAGGAATGGCAGCTCAGCCCTTGCTCTTACCTTCCCAGAACTCGCTCTCCCTTTTCCAGAACTTCCCCCTCCCTTCCTGCTTTTGCCATCACCTGCCATTCTCTTAAATGGTTCATTTCCTGGCCCAGGAGCCTGAACTACCTCCTTGTCCTGCAGCTGCTGGGAAGCTGCAATATTCAGCTCTTGGCTTTGTTTGGGAAAGGCTTCCTTTTTCAGTTCTTTAACCTCTTCGGCTCCTTCAGAGAACTCTTTCTGTTTGTCATTCTGCAGTTTAGTCATTCTCCTTTCATCATTCCCTTCTTTCAAACTACTTTCTAATGGATTACTTGCTGTCAAAGTGGGTATCAAATTAGGCATTGCTTTTGCTGCTGTGGGTTTTGAAACTCCCCCCACAGCCTCATGGTCCAAGACAGGAGAGTAGCCCTCTTTGGGTCTGATCTCCAAAGGGCGTTCTACTTCGTGCGCAGAAACTTCTGTCAGGGGTCCTTTCAGTTTGAGAGAGCCTATGGTCTGGCTTTTCTCCGCAGAAGTGCATTCATCTCGTGGCATCAGCTTCCTATCTTGGCCCTGTGGTCCTGTCTTGTTACCTTTGATCTCTGCCTCTACTCCCAGCTTGGGCTGAGAACTTACTGCAGTTTTCAGGGGTTTTTCTAAAGGACACGAAGGAACACCAAGGCTTTCTGAGGCAATGTTCTCAGCCACTGGTTTGGCTGTTTTGGAGTCAATTTCACATTCCTTTTTCAGGTTTTCTCTGGATGCCAGTCCATATTCCGTGCCCACAGTGGTAGGCTGACTGGGGAGAACACCTGATTTTTGTGTGTCGTCTGCAAAGGGCTGACCTTTAGGCTCTTTTGCATTGTCATCATCCCAAGGTCCCCCAGCCCGGGGTTGAGAATATCTCTTTTGCTTTGGTTTCTTCTTTTTTTTCTTCATCATCATTGCTGTGCTTTCTAAAGCCCAGGCCTCCCTGCCAAGATCCCTCTGGGATTCAAGGAAGTCGACATGAATAGTTTTCCTTTGGTTCCCAGGTTCACCACAGGAAGATGAACCAGAGACCCAACTCGACTCAGACAAAGAAAAGGGGCCCAGCCCGGGATCGAGAGTCTTCTGTGGAGAAGAGCCTCCCAGCAGCTCAGGAGGACCCCTGGGAGGCCTGGGCCGGGCAGCCCTGCGGTCACTGGGTCTGCGCACTTGTTTGACTTGTGTGGGAGGGGTACCTGCAATACACGAAGGTGACCAAAATTCCAAACAGAAAACTCCTTGTTATTGTTTTTTAAAAAGAAGTCTATTTAGTGACACATTTAAATAGTCTATTTTCACCAACCCACATACTAATTCGTTCAGGAAAACAGCTTTTTCTGAAACATTTCTCACCCTTAACTGGGATTAGCAAATATTTAATAAAGATCATCATCTCAGGTAAAGATTTTTTTCAAACATATTTACAAAATACTTAAAAGCTGGAGAAAAGAAATTCAGAGATTACCTAACTCCTATAATAAGCACTTATTGCCTATAAATCTCATCTGACCCTTATTTATATTTGTCATTATTTTTACTAGGTACATAGTTCCCAATTCTGCAATAAAATGATAAGCTCCTGTCTCTTTTTGGTGACATTTGCTAATTAATAGAATGAAATACATATCATCTTGGACAGAATTTGTAATTCTAAGAGTCTGTCACCAATATTATACTAATTACTTATCAAAGTAACCAGATCAATTCTGAGAAACAGACCAGAAGGCCCGGCTTATGCTACTAGGAAAAAAAAGAAGAAAAAGAAAAAAGATACTGACTTAGTATTTTTGGCCAGAGAAAAATTCTCATCATTCCAGAACTGAGCCTCCTACTTTAAAAGCAAATGTGTTAGATGTCAATGTTCTGTTCCTAAATGTACTTCCCCAAAGCCAGAGAAATATACATAATGCCAAGTAGGGCAATGAATTAAAACAATTGAAATAAGCACCCTTGGAAAAATTTCAGGAAGTCAACTGGTCCAACCACCTTCCTCCAAGCCAATCCAGCATGGATCCGAGGTCCCAGGAAGAGTCCAATAGGAGCAGGTCAAGGACAGTGCTTGTCAAGTCTGACCCAATGGAATGACTTGAGAGAATACTGAAACACTTAAACAGTATCTTTGGTTTCTGTCGTTACCCCTCCAAAGTCTTCCAAATCCTACCCTTTATTTAACACCTCCGGTCAATTACTGCTTCTCTCAAAAAATTGCTAGGCTTTAGCACCCAGCAGCATTTATAATACTTAATTTGGCAATTAATCAGCAGCTATTTGGCACCATCTCTTATACTATTTTATTCAATTATTATATAAATCTTTGGTTTCAGAGTTCATACCTGCAAGCTTCTTTTGCCATCCAGGCTATAATAAAATAATAACACAAGAGCAAGGACCCGGACTTAAATATCTGTGTGCCTTTGCATGGTGTATTTTGTACACAGTAAGAACCTGATAAATCTTTATTGGTATGTTGAGTCACTAAAACAACATTTTAAAAAACTCAAACGTTCATCTTGCTCCTTCTTGTTGCCAGACAGTGAGCAAACCAATAGAGATTGTAAATGAAATAAGTCACGGTCCCTGCCCTCCAGTTCACATTCTAATCACAGTCACAGAAAAGTAAGCAGGGAATCAGGTTGATCAGATGCATGTTTCTGGCTTACAATAAAAACATGTAATCTTAGAGTTCATTGAATAATCAAACTTTGAGTTAGAAAGTATCCTACAGCGGTGCCTCTCAACGTGTAATGTATGTAAGTACTATCGGGAGAACTTGTGAAAACACACATTATGATTCTGAAGGTCTGGGGAGCAGTCCAAGATTATGTATTTCTAACAAGCTTCCCAGGCAATGCAGATGCTGGTGGGCTGTGAAACATACTGTAACTAGCAAGGGTTTCCTGTAACTAGCAAGGGTTTCCAGACCACTGGATCAACATATTCTCTTAAAGCTGAGGAGGAGACTGAGATATGGGAAAGCTGAATAAGCTGCCAAAGACCTCTCAGGATAGAAGAGTGAACAGCTGACCTGCATTTGAGTTTAAGTGTCCTGAGTTGATGTAGTGATCATTTAAAAGTACATAACAAGCTGACAACATAAATTCTATCTACGAAACTGACCTCATAAAGGCACTGCTGATTCTACCATCCAACCAGGGGCAATGTCTGCCGCCACCACCACCACTCCCAGTTTCAGTGGTTTCAAAGGGTCCACTTGGTGTTCCTAACTTACCTGAGGTCTCGGGAGGAAGGTCAGAAGGCTGACTGCTGAATGGTTTCTTCTGCTCTAGTTTCTCTGACACAGACTCCCCATTTGTTGGCAAGTTGTACTTTTGGCCCATGGCTGAGACCGGTTCTAAAGGTAATAGTAAAAACCACACAGGTTTCAGAGCAGCACGATTTCAGCTATTTCTCCACCTTCCAGAAATCGGAAGTTTTTGAGGAATGAGAGATGCTCCTGTCAGGGCAGCAGAAAAATGTAGTAGTTGGCAGGGGAAGGGAAGGTGGAATTGGGAGGGCTTTGGTGTTTTTTAAGATGAGAAAAACAACAGACGTCATTTGTATGCTGGTGGGAAGGATCCAAAGGAAAGGGGAAAAAACTGGTGAGAGGCAAGAAAGGAGAGAACGGCCAGGGCAATAGGCCTAAGCAGGTGAGAAGAAATGGGGTCTAGTGCAAGACAGAGAGACTGGCCTTGGCTAGAAGCAGGACGATTACTTCTAGTAACAGGAGAGAAGGCAAATCTCTGGGTACAGATACAAGATGAGGTAGTAGAAGGCTATGAATATTCTCTTACTGCCTCAATTATCCTAAGAAAAATAGGAAGCTCAGCAGAATAAGGATGGGAAAGGTGTTGGAGGGGGGCAAAGGGGAGAGACAACTGTCTAGGAGAGTAGGAATGTCTATGGATTTGCAGTCCTTATTTTGCCTGGCACGCCGTTTGTCCCTTACCCTTCTGGAGACTATGCCCTGGTGGACAAAAACACTGAGAATAAGCTTAAGTCCATACCTGGCAAAATCATGGAAGGTGGCACAGCTGAGTGTCCCTCATTCTGAAGAGATTCTAACCGGGAATCCTCACTTATTTCTTCCTGCGTCCGTACAACTTTCATGTCCTTAACTGGAACTGGTGCCACCTCTGTTTCTGAGGGTGGTACAACTTCCTTAGCCGGCGCTTTCTCTGTTTCTGGAGACAGAGGCGCATCCTTGCCCAGGGCCATCTCTGTTTCTGGGGGTGAAGCCATGTCCTTGACCAGCGTCACCTCTTTTTCTTGAGGTGGAGCCACATCCCTGCCCAGAGTCACCTCTTTTTCTTGAGGTGGAGCCACATCCCTGCCCAGAGTCATCTCTATTTCTGGGGCTGGAGCCATGTCCTTGACCGGGGCCACTTCTGTTCCTGGAGATGGAGCCATGTCCTTAACTGGGGCCACCTCTGTCTCTGAGGACAAGGCAACCTCCTTGGCTGAAGATATTTCTGCGGATGATCCAATGTCCTTCCCCAGTGCCATCTCTATTTCTGAGAGTGATGCCACACCGCTGGCAGGGGCCATCTCTCTGTCTGTGGGTGGTACCATGCCCTCCACTGGGGCCAAATCCATTTTCATAGGCGGTGCCGTCTCTGTTTCTTTGAACAGTATTCCGTCCTTAGCTGGGGCTTCCTCTATTTCCGTGGGTAATGCCACGTCCTTGACGGGGGCCATATCTGATTCGATGAATGATTCCACATCCTTGGGAAGTGCCACGTTTTCTTTGGTAGGTAGTTCCACATCTTTAGCCAATGCCACCTCTGTGTCTGTGGCAGGTGCCATGTCCTTGGCCAGGGCCATCTCTGCTTCTCTAGATGGTGCCATGTCATCAGCCTTCAGTCCCATCATTATTTCCATTGTTTTTGTTGGTGTCCTTTCTTCTGCTGATGCCATTTCTACCACCTCAGCTGGCTCTAAGGGAAGTAAGTTAGAAACTTAGGATCCATCATTGACTGCTTGTAGCTCTGCGTTCAGAACTCACTTTCTTAGAGCACAGGAGTATCTGGCTTTTGTGCCTATAACGCCCTAAACATAGCTAAGAAGCTCTCCAGTCAATGCATTTGTGCCTTCTCTGACACTTCCAATACTTAGAAGAACAGGAGGTTGGGAAAACAAATAGTGGAGGAGAAAAGGCAAAGAAGAGAAAAAAACCAAAGGCTTAAAAAAAAACAACACAGGTACACAATTAGTGTCAGAAAGGGAATCTGTGGGACATCAAGAAAAAACCCTAGAATCCTAAATCTTCCCTGAATTAAAAAGGGATTTTATTTGCCCCCCATTAACCCCCAGTCATGTATTTCCACTACAACTTAATTCCTCTAAATGTGAAATAGGTAATACAAGTTTAAAAACATTTGTGATGGTTCTCAGAATTTTATCTATACTGCTGTACACTGCTAGAAAATAAATCTGATGATTATATTGATTATTGATACTGTAACCACTAACTGATAGAGAGAAGTTCTAATAATTTACCTGCTGTGGGCTGCACAGGTTGTGTGACCTCTGGGGAAATGAAGACTCCTGCGTGCGGAGAGTTTGGAGCTTCTACAGGCCATCCCTGAGGTACAGCAGCTGCAGGAGCAAATGTGTCACAGGAAAACAGACCTAATATTGAAACACAAACAAACATATTTTTGAAACTTGGTTAACATTGGGGGGGGAGGGGGGAAGACATTTGGTATTTAAAATCAGCTTTACATACTGCCATAAAGATGCAGACCTAAAGACCAATGAAAAACAAAGCAAGAAACTGCCGATATTCTTCAGATTTGGGCTACCTGTTCATAGGCTGTATAATATAACTATATCCCTGTCGCCCATGAGTCAACACTGATTGGCTGCCTTCTACAGTGAATTAAAAAGATTCAAAATACCAAAGACTGAGCTCTAGCTCCAACATCACAACTGATATAACATAACATATAGCAAGGAACTATAAATCTTAACTTCCTCATCTGTAAAATTAAATTAACACCCCTCCTTTCCAACATTAGAGGACAATTTTGTGAAAATGCTTTGTAAATTATTAAGAACTAGACAACATAAAAGATTATTATTATTCCGTCCACTGCCAGACTTCAGAGGGAATCTAATAACCCCTGGAGGGTTCTTGCCATTGAGGTTATTACAATTTAGCTAAAGAGGCAAGACTGACATATATCAAATAATGCAAAATGTATAATAAGAAGTAGGTGCTATAAGAGTTTAAAAACAACCAGAGGACTACAGTGGTCACAGAAGGCTTCCGAGGAGAAGCCGGAGCAGGAAGAAAGGAGAGAGTAGTCAATTTCAAGGATGGAGAGCAAGAAAAAGTATGAAGATGCCAACAGGACAAGAAAGTTTCCAGGACTGTAATATTAGTTTGATTCAACTAGATCTTGCATACCAGTGAGGAAAAGAGATTAGAACAATGGAAAAAGGATCTGGAAAACCAGAGAAATTTAGACTTGAAGAGAAAAAATATATATATAGGGTGTCTTAAGGTCCTACTCATGAAAATGAGATGATGAATACAGAACAGGGACTCAAGGTGATCAATACAGCAGGTCAATTCAGAATGAATTTTAAAAGGGAGCAGGAAGCCTGTCAGGAGACTACTGAGGTGGTGTAGGTGTGAAGTGACAGGGATTTACACTGGGGAAAAAGCAGAGGGGGCCTAAAGGAAAAGAAAAAAAGATGCTGTAAAGAAAGAAGTCAATGCAACTAAATGACTCACTAGCTAGTGAGCTTAAAAAAAACAGGAGTCAAAGCCAAAATCAAAGTATCAGGAGACTAGACGGAAAACATCAAAGTCAACTCATTTAACATCCTTCTCCCAAGAGTCCTAAAAGCCTAAATGAAACATACTATTGGTCAGGGTCTTTACAAATTCAGAACTGTAGCATTGTTTGAAGTGAGACGTATACATGATGGGTACTGACGGAAACCAGAATATGTCACCTCAAAACATGCCTCTTTGACTGAAAAATTATTTGGACCTGAAGGCAATTAAGCAGCAGCAAACCCAGAAAAAAGTTCGCCCCTTTGTACCTAAAGGCAGGATATAAATTCTCCTTTTACTGGAGATAAACTCTTCCCAGCCCAAGAGGGCACCAGAGAAATCTGCAGACAAACCTTCCTCCATTAGTTCCCTCCCATGTTCCTTCCCAGTGTGCCACTCTTAGAAGCCTAAAATTGCTGTCGTCTGTCCTGTCATTTCTCTACAAGTTTATTGTTTTTTGTTGAAGATGCTACAGAAACAGAAATTCTAAGCAACAACCTTGCGTTACTTTTCTCCTGTGTGATGTATGCAGCGGGCGTTAATAAACTGTTCTTCTCTTGTTAATCTGTATTTTCGTTAAAGAGTCTCAGCTGAAAACCTAAGTTTTGCTTTCCCTACAGTACCCCAGCCACATTCGTGTGAAAAGTTATACAAAGCCAGAAATGTGGATACTACAAACTGATGACCAAGATCTGTTTTATATTTACTATGTAATGAAACTATGTGAAGTTCTTTTATGTAATTTCACTTAGTCATCACATCTTTAAGGTAGAAACTAGTTAGTGTTGGCCCCATTTAATAGATAAAGAAACCGAAGTTTAGGAAGGACAAAACTTGCCCAAGGGTACAAAGTAGTACAATGTGGAGAAAGAATCTGGCCCTAAGATATAGGATTCAAGATCTCATGAGAGGAGGGGAGCAGCCCTGAGAGCCTAACTCTGAATTCTCTCCGAGGACTCATCAAGAAAGTGCCTTGTCCCAGCCAGAGCTCCTCAACGTGACTTTGCCTAGTGGTTAACTTCAAATGAGATGCGGTGAAGGCCACATAAATTGTCTGGAGTAAGAGATACACCCAGTTGGAGAAATCATACCATAACTGTCTTTCAGGGGATCATTTTGCTCTGTAAATGCTGAAGTATTGGCTGTTCCACTGGGGAAAAAGAGCAAATCTTCCAGGCCGTCACCATGGTGCATCTTAAAGGGATCTGGAACAAAGAAGGAATTTAAAACTCATTCTCAGTGAATACAACTATAAAGGCAGCATTCCTTATTATCCCACAATGAATATTGATTAGTTACACATTTGTTGTCAATAGTACATTAAATAAACTGAGGTAATATGTGACTAAACATGGCAAGGAATCAGTAAATATTCACTAATTCATCTGTTACGAGTTAAAAATATATAATCTCAGATTCTCTAAGATTTGACTAAATCAGACAGCCAACACATAATAGTAGAAACACAACAAATGCTCAACTCTACAGTCCACCAAGAGGTGAACGTACAGGTATAATTAAATTTTCAATGGATATTTACATAGTAGACATTCATGTTAGGTTACTTAAAAAAAAAAAGACACCACAAATGAAACAAATAAACAAAAAGACATTTCCACCTTACGTGGACATAATGAAGAAAACTGCATTTCAAAAGCTATCTGCATGAGCCAGCATCTCGAGAAATAAACTCTAGACTTAGGAATAAAGATACTCATAAACACTTAACAAATTAGGAATAGAAGGTATTTCTCTTAATCTGATAAATGGCATCTGTAAAAAACCCAAAGCTAACACCATACTTAATGATGAAAGATGGATACTTTCCCCACAAGACCAGGAACAAAACAAGAATGTCTGCTTCTCATCTTCTATTTAATATTGTACTGAAAGTTCTAACCAGGACAATTAGGAAAGAAAGAAGTAAAACTATATTTGTAGACGACATGATTTATATATATAGAAAATTCTAAGGAATCCACTAAAAAACTGCTAGAACTAATGAAGTCAGCAAGGTGGGAAGATACAAGAACAATCAATATATTAAAATCAATTGTATATCTATACCCTTGCAATGAACAATCTGAAAATGAGATTAAGAAAATTCCATTCACGGGCCAGCCGAGTGGCGCGTTGGTTAAGAGTTGGCTTGGGACGCCAGCTCTGAGCCGAAGGACCCCGGTTAGGATCCACATGAGGGCCAGTGACGCTGCGCACTCTTCAGCTAAGATGGTGAACAACAGCTCAACCTGGAGCTGGGCTTCCGTGAATCGCCGGCAACAGCGTAGACTGCAGTGAAGCTGCAGCTGGCAGCCGGCATGAGCTGCCAAGAGCCACCGTGAGCGGCCATCCAGTGGCCGGCGACTGATCTGCCTCATCGGGGAAGAGCGCAATGATAATATCAACACGGAGCAGTGAAACGATGTCCTCCACAACTAGACTGAAGAACAAAAAGGACAGCAACTTATCTGTTCCCCTTCCCCAACTCCCCAACACTGTTCCCCTCCCCCAATTCCCCAATAAAAAATCTTAAAAAAAAAATTTTTTTTAATTTTTATGCCTGAAAAACTGCTATCAAGAAAATTAGAAGACAATCCACAAAATGGGAGAAAATATTTGTAAATCAAATCTGATAAAGGTCTGGTATACAGAATATATAAAGAACGCAACAACAAAATGACAAACAAACCAATTAAAAATTGGGCAAAGGATCTGAATACACATTTCTCCAAAGAAGATAGATATACAAATGACCAATAAGCCCATGAAAAGATAAAAAGACAATAAACATCATGAGTCACTAGGAAAATGCAAATCAAAATCACAATGACATACCATTTTACAACCATTAGGTTAGCTATGATTTAAAAAAAAGGGAAACAAGAGCTGTCAAGGATGTGGAGGAATTGTAAACCTCATACGTTATTGGTGGGAATGTAAAATGGTACAGCTGTTTTGCAAAACAGCTTGGCAATTCGTTAAATGACAAACACAGAGTTACTACTATATAATCAGCAATTCTAACTTAGGTATATACCCCAAAGAAATGAAAACATATGTCTACACAAAACCTTCTACATGAATGTTTATAACAATATTATTCACAATGGTAGAAAAATATGGAAACAAGCCAAATGTCCATCAACTGATGAAGAGATTAAACAAAATGTGCATCATATAAAAGAATGAAGTTCTGATCCATGCCACAAAATGCATGAACCTTAAAAACATGTGCTCAGTGAAAAAAGCCAGTAACAAAAGACCACACATTATATGATTCTGTGTATATGAGATGTCCCAGACAGGTAAATTTATAGAGACGGGAAGTAGATTACTGGTTCCTTAGGGCTGTGTGGATAAGGAAACAAGGAGTTATCTATATCTAAAGAGTGCATGGTTTCTTTTTGAGGTTATGCAAATGTTCGAAAATTGACTCTAGTGATGGCTATATATGTGAATATACTAAAATCCACTGAATTGTACACTTGAAATGGGTAAATTGTATGGTATGTGAATTATCTCTCAATAAAGCTGTTTCTAAAAATTGCCATATATCTACGATAGCCAATAATTAGAGAATGGTACCTAACATCAAGTACTACATCATCTGGAACCAGCTATGAGCACCTTATAAGTTAGATGGACAAAAACAAACAACCTGTCAGTGGAAACAAATAACCTGAGCTCTCAACCTGGTTATCTGCCATGGAGACACTGAAGCTACTGCTTCCAGCCCTCCTGCAATCCATTCCTCCCACCACTTCCAGCTCTAGGCAACCACAGATACGCTTTCCATTTCTATAGATTAGATTGAACTTTAGAGAAATTGGGTATGAGTCATGGTCTTCTCTTCTGTCCAACGAGGATAATATATATCTGGTAGGGTTGGGTAAGAAACACATATCATGTATATAAAGGCTCTAGCATTGTGCCTGGCATAAAACAGGCACTCAACAGATGGTGCCATTATTACCGCAATTCCTTTTGGAAGAATCATGGTTCTAAGGTACCACTGATCGTTTAGTCTTCAGTGAATATGAATTTCAGTTAATTTACTCAAAACAGATTTTGAAGGAGAGGGAACTAGAGGGGCATCTGTCCCAGAAGAAGAGATAAACAGAGAGGAGAAAGGGTCAACCAAATGTTCAGAAAAAATAATTATACCTTGGTTGTGCTTTAGAAGCTATATTTAAGCTAAAATGTTTTATGTGAGTGGTGGTTGTAGCTCTGTCATGTTTATGTCATAGTTCACATTCAGCAGTCACAGGCAAGCCAATACTTACCAGTCTGCACAGGGTTCACTACTTGCTCGGGTTTGAAGCAAAAGTTTGTATTTTCTGGCCAGTCCTGGCTGTTGTGATATCCCTGGTAGGCCATTTTCTCTTCAAGGAATTCAGTCGGAAACCCTTCAAATAAAAACATAAAACAAAAGTTACAAGGTACCCCTGTTTTCTCCACAAGAGTGGCGTTTCAGTATTACAGTTAACACAATATAAAACAATCATACCTGACTAGTGCATTTAACAAAAAAAATTTTTTTTTAAATTAAGTAAATTAAGTACTGGAGGCATATGGTTGTTATAAGGTCAAAAATACTGCAGGAGGACTTCTGGTTATGAAAGGTTAGTGATTTGTATCCACAAAAGAACAAGTATAAAATTGAACAAAACTGTCAAAAGCATCATTTCAAGTCACTGGAATTTTTTTTTTAAGCCAGATCTAAATAAATGGAGACGATATACCATGTTCATGAATGGAAGACTCAATATTGTTAAGATGGCAATTCTCAAATTGACCAATAGATTCAAGGCAATTAGAATTAAAAATCCTAGCAGAATTTTTTGAAGATAACAACAAGATAATCCCATCATTCACATGGAAATGCAAAAAAAAACAAACATAGAGCAGCCAAAATAAATTTTAAAAAAAGCAAGTTGGAGGAGTTACAAGGCCTGATATCCAAAGCTACTATAAATGTACAATGACCAAGTCACTGTAGTATAGACAATACATTAGATAAATACAACAGAAGAGAGTTCAGAAAGAAACCTACACAGTTGTTGTGGTCAATTGGTTTTTAACAAAGATGTGAAAATAATTCAATGGGGAAAGGATACTTTTTTTTCAACAAATGACAAACAACTGGGCACTTACCTCATACCATAATCAAAAACTAACTCCAAATGGATTAAAGACCGAAATGTAAAGAGCTAAAACTAAAAAACTTGTAGAAGAAAACATAGGAGAAAAATCTCTGTGACCTTGAATTAGCCAAAGATATCGGAGACATGTCACCTAAAGCACTATCCATAAAAGAAAAAAACTGATGAATTGGACATGATCAAAATTTACAAATTTTGCTTTCCAAAGATACCATTAAGAAAATAAGAAGAGAAGCCACGGACTGGGAGAAAATATTTGCAAATCATATATCTAATAAAGGATCTATATACAGAAGAGATTAAAATCTCTCACAACACAATTTATAATTACAATCTACATTAGATAAGTTTTAACTAGAGAAACAAGTTCATTTATCACATTAAAAACAAAATATTTATATATTACTTAAATATTGGTACATTTAGTGTTTGTTCAAAACTGCTTAGGCATTTAATATGGGGGAAATAGCTATTTCGCCCTTTTTGTTTAGTTTTGTTTATACTTGCATTGAGCAGTGCATACAGTTTTTATTTTCGGTTTTCCTATATTTTGTTTGTTCTGATTATCTTTATTAGAATGTCATTTTGTATGTTGAAGCTAATAATAAAAAAGTGAGACTTGGAAAAAAGAAATCTCTTATAACACAATTATAAGACACCTCAACTTTAAAATGGGCAAAAGATTTCAAAGGACGTTTTCACCATACAAGTGGATAATATGCACATTAAAAGAAGCTCATCCTCATTAAAATCTCTATGAGATACCACTACATAACCACCACTGCTAAAGGCAAGGCAAGCTAGAGGGGGTAAGTGGCAGGGCTGTCCCTCCTTTATCACTAGCCAACATCAGGCTGGCTCTGGCTGCAAATGTTCCCATTTTAAGGTTGCCCTTTATTTTCATGTTTCATAGAATCATTTAAATCTGATTTCATTTACATCAAATGGCTTCGGGAAAGAGAAGAGGAATGAAACAAAATAATTTATCCTAGATTTGCATTCCCCAAAAGGTTCCTTCAGGAACATTTCCTGAGATGATCTTAGATATCTGAGGATTTTTTTTTTAATCAAAATTACTACAAGGTCGTTATCCTGGACTGGATGATTTACGTTAATAAATTCACACTAAACACCAAGCTTCTCAGAAAGTGACTTACATTTAGTATGTAAAGCATAAAGAACCCCTAAAGAATTTAAACAATAGCCTATCATTTCCAAAACAAGCTTTAAAAGCCTAGTGATTCTGTTTCTACTTCTTACTCTGGGTAAAACCCACAATTTTTAGAAGTGGGTACATTTCTCTCACATCCTGGAGAAGGAATATGCACCTCTGGTTTTAAGACGCAAATGGGACAGGTTATCCCCTCCACGGCGGTGCTGCCTGGAGAGCAGCCAGCCACCAAAAACACTATCATTAATGAGCATGTTTGACAGAGGCCGCCCCCATATTTCGGTACAATGCTATTGACCCAGATTTCCTTCTTAAAACTACACAGCAAAAGTAGGCAAACTCCCTTTGCAGAAACAACAGCCTTCAGGATAAATGTGGGTGGGTTTTGGGGGGCTTTTTTTTTTTAGCATAATGCAGTCTACTCAGAGTCTATTTCAGTAAAAGAATGAAAAATGAAATTCAAAACAAAAAGTAACTTACATAACGCAATGGAAACAACCCTAGATACCTTGGCTCTCCTCTAAAAGTAGAATAGGGAAAGATAGGGGCCAGTTTCTATATTTGTGAAGTTGGGTCATTTAACAAAAAGGCAAGTTACCAAATATTAAAAGTACCAATTAATCAAGTAGTCATATCTCTAAATCAAAGCCAGAGTAATCCTATCAGATAAGATCCTTTCTAAGTGCAAGATAAACCAATGGCTTTTAATATAACAGAATACAAAAAGTTCACTGTTTCAGATTCTACATTGCAAAAAGCCTTTAAGAAACCACCATTTGTCAAGTTTTAATGTCAAATCAAAGGAAAATATCCACAGGTCTGGAAAAAAAACACCTATCAAAATACTCCTCCTCTTAAATACATACGTATGTATGCGAAACAGTTTGTTGATGTACTTCAACTCCAACAACATATTGTCACAGAAAGAATACACAGGCAGTTAGTTACCTTCTATTAAAGCATACATTGAAGAATTTAGAGAAATGTAAAACAACACAAGGGTTCCTACTAAACTTTTTTCTTGGAAACAATACTTATTTAAAAACGTTAACATTAACATTCATGACTTTATTATTATTTTAAAACAATAGTTTGAAAGTCTCTCAATTTTAATATTTAATTTGAGAAATACCGATCAATACAATCCATGTTAAACAAAAGCTCTTTGGGGCCCCTAATTTCGTGAACAGCTTTATTGAGGTACCACTGACATACAATAAGCTGCATGTATTTAAAATGTACAATTTGATAAATTGTGACATACGTATGCCGTCGCCACAAGACAGCAAACGTATTCATCATCCTTAAAAGTTTCCTAATTTTTAAGCATGAAAACTGTCTTGGTACTAAAGAGTTTGAGAGCTGATAACTTAATTTAGAGACATTCTCCCCCTTGAGCATTCTGCTATTTACCTGGAGAGTCAAGTATTGTATAAAGAGGCAGAGAAAGAACATAGTTTGGGGCAGAAGACTCAAGTAGCAGTCCCCAGCTCTTTGAAGAGACCTTAGTTAACTCGTTTAATTCCTTTGAACCTCAATATCCTCACCTGTATCACGGAAGGACTGTACCAGTATCTGGTCTCTAAGCTCCCTTTCAGCTCTCAAATTCTATCAGTCCACGTCCACACATGCTACTCTGTAGGCTCATGTATAACTATCACTCTGCTAGCTCTTTCCCTCAGTATCTGCACCCCCTCCCATCACCCCCCCACACACACACACACACCACCGTCAGAGTCAAGAAGTCCAAGACAAAGTTCAGGCTTCACTATGTTTTTGTGATAGAAACTTAACCATCTAAGAAATGAGGAAATACATAACACAGTATTTCATTAAGGGCTAAACTGTATGATGATGTTTAATTTATATGGAAAGAGAAGTAAGAAAATTAACGCCAGCAAGCAGGCTTCACAGAAAAGACGGGATGATCTCAGAATATGATATTTTGAATTACTGTTGATACTGTGAGTAACACAAGTGAGAACATCAGATTATTATTACAAAGATAAAACAAAACTACCAAGAAAACAGTATGTATACATCCCTACATATATTATAGGATGATAAAGCAATTGTGGAAAAATTTACTAATTGGTAAATCTGGAAAAACATACAAAAGTTCTTTGTTTTATTCTATTCTTTCAATTTTTTTTGTACATTTGAAATTATTTCAAAATAAGAATTTAAGTATTTCTATTTTCTAAAAACAGAAGAAAACTAACTCCTCAGATTTTCAGCCAACTACACTTTTTCTAACGAAATAGATTTAAATGTTAATATCCAACTATATTAGGATGTCTTTCTCCTCTGTACTAAACAGGCAAAAAAGTCCACCAACCTTCCTGATTTGAAATTAACACTATCTGACATCCCTAAAATATCTGGGAGACTTTTGCTTTTTTTTTTTTTTGAGAGTTCAGAATTCTAACAATATTTGAAACCATTGAAGCACTGAAGGTCTCATGCAGGACGGAGATGATAACTTTGGGTTCAAAGTTTCTCTTTGGTTCACTGAAAAACAGACCAGCATGCTTCTTGGAAACATCCTAAAAGACTACCCAGTATGCTTGTTTTGCTTCAACCAGAAATCCTGCAGGCTGCTTCCCAGAGTGGGCACACATTCAGGAAGCCACCATGAGGCAGAGACACAGCCTAAGCCGGCAACAGCTGTAAACACTACACTGTTTTCAGGTGTTCCTTCCACCTCCCATAACATTCGACTTACCATCATACTGAACATACACTGTTCCTCTAAAAGCATGTGTCTACACAATTTCCTTTCTCATTCTCCAAAGATGTTCTTACATATACTCTCCTCTCCAGCATCCTCCGTCCCAACATAAAAACTCTTACTTTACAAAAAATAATATTCTTCGGCTACCTTTTCCTCCATCACAAACACAACCATGTTAGTCCATTATTACTTCTTTCCTTCCTGCTTGAGTGAAAAATAATCCTTCACCTTTATTTTTTTTTAATTTGAAACAAAGCTAAGCTAGAGAATATGAGAAACACGCTTCATTCTCCCTTCCAAGGACAGCACTTATGCAAGTATGTCCGTTATCATCTCCCT